CTAGGTTTATCCCCTTCCTTCTCTCTGGCGAAGCAGTGGCTGTTGAGGATCCGCTGCAGGGAGGATTTCACCATCCGGCCGCTGGGGTCCGAAACCAGGAAAACCTCCGCTGCGCCTCTCCGCGCCGCCGCCGCTGCTCGCCGTTCGCAAAATGGCGCCGCAGCCGCCGCCTGCTTTTATAATCGCCGGTCTAGGCCACGCCCCCAAGCTGCTGTGAACGCAGACACACGAGGGGGTGGAGCCGCGGAGGCCGTCGGGAACAGTAGGTGCGCCCGCCTCTTCTGGAATCTGATTGGTAAGAGGCGAGGGGTCAAAGTAAATTCATGCCGACGATTGGCCTATGTGCTTCTGGTACCGCCTTCTCTAGTGGCGTCACCCTGCTAGCCTGTGGGGGACGGGGCCTCCGTCCTGCCGGAAATGCACCGTGAGCGTCCCGCCCCCACCAGCCTGGACTTGGTGAGGGGCTGCTGCTCGCTGATGCGGGACTCGCTGTTTGCAATGTTTCCTTTACGGTCCCTGTTGTCCTCTATAGGGTCCCGTTATCCCGTGGGACTCTTCTTCCCCGAGAGCCTCTGGGGTGTTGGGGGGAGGAGGGCGCTCATCCCCCGTGGAACAAAATTATTTTCAATAATGACCTTGTAATAGTAATTATTATGTTCTTGGTTTTTCAGTGTGAAAACTTTCAATTTAAAAAAAAAAAAACTTTCAACATTAAGATGTTTCTTGTAAAATTTGGACCTAGTGAAATTATTCTTGCTGATAAATTCCGATAAATTTTGCCTATATGTAAGGATCACGGCTCCAAGCAAAATGAAAATTCACCAGTGCCAGGCACGGTGGCGCATGCCTGTAATGCCAGCACTTGGTCGCTGCGAGTTCGAGGCCAGCCTGAACTACAAAGGGAGACTAATCCTAGCACTCTGGGAGGCTGAGGTAGGAGAATAGCAAGTTGAAGCCCAGCCCTTCTCTAAATAAAAAATAAAAAGGGCTGGGGATGTAGCTCAGTGTGAAAGTCCTGGATTCCGTCTCCATTCCAAAAAAAATTTTCTTCTTCTGCAGCTAAGCCCAATAAAGTACTTCTGTGATTTACGATTCAGACTTCAGCAAAAAAAATTAGAAACACATTTCATGTATAATCTGCAATATGCTTTCAACGAGCAAAGATGGGACTTACAGTTAAATAAAGGAATATACTTTGCATGTAGACTAAAATTTGGGTTTACCAGGCAAAAATATTCTACCTCACAGTTAAATGTAGGAGAGTTCATATTTTATGTATGAACTAAATTCTGCTGTTCCCCAGGAAAGGCTGGTACATCTGCAGGTCCTGCTGTGTTTTGTGGGACAGAACCCAGTGCATACTAAGCAGATAGTTTACTGCTGCATTTCACCCCAGCCCGTTTCATAGCTTTAATTTGTTTTGTTTTGTTGTTGTACTGGAGATGGAACCTAGGCCTTTACACTGACCTGTGTCCCCAGTCCTCTTTTCTATATTTTAATTTTAAGACAAGGTCTCCCTAGGCTACTGAGTTGCCCAGGCTGGACTCAAACTTTTGATCCTCTGGCCTTGTCCTCCCACAGATGGCTTTTTTTTTTTATTTTTTGGTTTTTTGAGACAGGGTCTCACTATGTAGTTCAGACTGCCCTGGAACTCACTGTGTAGCCCAGGTTGGTCTCGACCTCACAGCGATCCTCCTGCCTCAGCCTCCCGAGTGCTGGGATGACAGCCGTGCGCCACCATGCCCGGCCCTAAATGGCTTTTTACTTAATGTTAGATTGTCCCTGATTTTTGTACAGAGAATCTATTCAGAGAGTGGGCTTCCAGATGCCCACCCACACGGAGAGCTTGAGCGTACTGACTCAGAGTAGTATTAATACCTTTGTGGTTATTTAGACTTGTTATTTAGGCTAAACAGACTTGAGCATTTTCCTTTTCTTCTGTGGTGCTGGGATGCAACCCAGGGCCTGGAGCAAATAAGGCAAAGACTTCCCCACTGAGCCACAGCCCCAGATTTGGAAATCTGTTTTCTGACCTCTGCTTAGCTCCCCAAGGAACGCAGTTGGGCCAGGCGTGCACAGCAGCCCCAGGCACTGGGGAACAGCAATGCCTCAGGCATGAAAGTAACTCCGGTCGTCAGTGGCCCTGCATGGTGGGATGGACTCTGCTTGGCTTTGGAATGCTCCGTTAGGCTGAGGAATGGCATTAGGCACCTTCTGGGGCCTGTGGAGGTCACAGGGGACCCCGGAAACCTCCAGAGAGACACTGGGCAGGGAGGGTTTCTTCCTTGGCAGGCCTTGTTGCCCTTGATGGCCAACACAGGCTTCCATTTGTGGGTGCAAAGAAATAAGCCAGTAACTTGATGAAAAGAAACCAAGCCTGGGCGTGCAGCTTAGTGCCCAGCACTTGAGTGGCACACATGAGGTCCTGGGGTTCATCCCTGGGGTGTTGGCGCATGCCTGTAATCTCAACACTGGGGAGGCTGAGGCAGGAGAATCACAGCCAGTTTGAAGTCAGCCTGGGCTACATAATGAGTTCAAGGCCAGCCTGAAGCACATAGTGAAACCCTATCCCAAAAGAAAACAAAACAAAAAAGAGCAAGCCGGGCATGGTGGCGCGTGCCTATAATCCCAGCACTCGGGAGGCTGAGGCAGGAGGATCGCTGTGAGTTCGAGACCAGCCTGGGCTACATAGTGAGCTCCAGGTCAGTCTCAACTACCTAGTGAGACCCTGTCTCAAAAAAACAAAACAAAACAAAAGACAGCAGCCTGCAGAAATGTGGCAGAGGGAAGCCGTGGACCGGGCTTGGAGGACTATGGGGTCTTGGCTCCTGTCACTCACACAGTTAGGGCACTGTGCTTCAGGAGTCAGCTTCCCCCAACCAGGATGGGTTCCCCGACGTTGGGGGCCCCCAGCACTGGATGAGAAAGATCCATTGCTCCTTCTCTGCTTCCTGCCGCCCCCAAGGACTGTCCCCGATGCACAATCCAAAACACTTTCTATTCTTTGCAGTGCTGGGGCCTAGGGACTCTGAAGGAAACGAGGGAGCCACAGGCAGCAGAGACTCCGAGGGAAGTCAGGTAGGGCTTCCTGGAGGGGGAGAGGGTTGAGAGCTAGGAAGAAACAGCAGAAGACAAAGGACAGGAAGGCCAACAATGGAGGGCCCATGCCAGCCAGGATCAGGATCACCCTCCAAAATCAAGTGATATATATATATATATACTCATCATCCTAGCCACTCAGGAGGCAGAGGCAGGAGGGTCTCAAGTTTCAGGATGCTCTGGGGTCACAAAGCACTATCTCAAATTAAAAAAAAAACATTTTTTTTAAGACTGTGATATAGCTCAGTGTGCAAAAGCTTAGGTTCAGTCCCCAGAACTGAAAGAGGGAGGAGAAGAGAGGATTTGTGGATTGTGAGTGTGGTCAGATGAATAATGACCCCCAAAGGTCTACATCCGGACCCCCAGTATTTGAGAAGATGTCACTCTGGTGGCAGAAGGTTACTCTGCACATGGGCTAAGGACCCGAGAAGGGGTCATCTTGACTACCCCAGCCCCAGTGTCCTTCAGGTCCCCCTGAGCAGGCACAGCGGGGAGAGAGGTAGAGAGGCTGAAGACAGAAGAGGCTGCTGGCTCGGCAGATGGAGGACGGGGCCGCGAGCCGAGGGCGGCAGGCGCCTTGAGGGGCCCGGATGGAGACTGGGTTCTCCCCAGAGCCTCGGGAGGAGCAGCCCTGCCGCTGAGACTGGATTCGGCCCTAGGAGACCGTGCTGCCCTCTGACCCCAGGGCAGAGAGAGGACGCTTAGGGTGGGATCTGCGGGACATGAAAAGGCAGAGGGCCGGGTGTGCCCAGCATCTTGGTGGCCGTGACCTTTGAACAGAACTCCTCCCAGGCCTGTTCGTCTCCTGCTGTGTAAGTTTTATCTAAAATCTGGGGCCAAGCATTTACCTCAGCGGCACTGCACTTGTCTCAGAAGCGCAGGTTCCTTAGTTCAATTCCCAGTACCGCAAAATCAATCAATCCAATCACACCTAAACTACAAGTGTATATTGATCTCTAGTCAGTAGTGTTCTGTGCTGAAGTGTTTTGGGAACAGAGACAGATACCTACAAGTAAAATGAAATTTAAGAAATAAGTAGACCCAGGGCCAGGGATTTAACTCAGCCGTTCGGTGGCCTGCCTTGCAAGCGCAAGGACCCGAGTTCAATCCCCAGTACAAGAAAAAAAAAAAAAAGAAACAAGTAGACCCAGGACCAGGGATTTAGTTCAGTGGCACTGCGCCTGCCTCATAAGCATAAGGTCCTGAGTTCAATATCCTGTACTCCCCGCAAAAGAAAGTAGACCCCGGTGGTAGCACGGCCCTCAATCCCAGCACTCTGGGAGGCTGAGGCAGGAGGATCATAAGTTCAAGCCCAGCCTGGGCAATTTAGTGACTTAGCGAGATCCTGTCTCAAAATAAAAAATAAAGCGGGCTGAAGGTGTAGCTCAGTGGTGGACCATCCTGAGTTCAAACCCCAGCACTGAAAGAAAAAAAAAAAGCAAGATATATAGGAGTGTGTCTCAGTAATGAGCATTTTCCTAGCATATAGGAAGCCCTGGGTTCTATCACCAGCACTACAAAAAAGAAAAACAAAGCAAAATATTACCTGTAGAGTCCAGCTGGTATATGGATGTGTGCCATACAATTCTCTCAACTTTCCTACACGTGAAAATTTTCAATGTTAAACCAAGAGGTATAAATAAAAATTAAAAATAATAAAAAAATTAAAATACTAAAAGATAAAAATGAAAAAGATCAAAAAAATTGGGTTTTGCTATTCCTCAGTTCATTTTTTTTTCTTTTTGTTGTTTATTTTTTGAAACAGGATCTCACTAGCTAGTTCAGGTTGGCCTGAACTCACTGTGTAGCTCAGGATGGCTTTGAACTCCCAGTGATCCTCCTGCCTCAGCCTCTGGAGGGCTGAGATGACAGGTGTGTGCCACCACACTGGACTCTTTTTTTTTTTTTTTTTTTTTTT